ATGCTTAGTGTGAGGGTTTGCATTCGAGTCAATGAGTCAATGCAATCAACTGGTTTTCCATAGATAGAAACCCTTGAATCAATTTGGCTGGATGAATTGGTGAACTGTAAAGTGCCTTGAGATGACGTGTTGTGAATTGGCGCTAAATAAACTGAATAAAATTTGAATTAACATCTATGTTTTGCTTTTTTTGTATATTTGGAAAGCCGACAATTTCAACACAGGTTTGACTGGTCTGATTGTGACTAAAATCAATCATTAAAAAAAATTTATATGAATAAATATTTTTATACATATATTTTAGAATATATATTTATATATTTTTTTTTATCATTGAAAGTATTCAGAGCGATCGAAATCCAAACAATTTATATACTCAAACAATTAAGATAGAAGCGTTAATGTGTACATGATTTCATAAATCAAGCTATAAGAGCTCGATTTAGTGACGCGGACGCTCCAAATCGGACACAAACTTCAAGGTCATAAACTTTTTACCGCGGGCAACAAACACAAAAAAATGCATCGATCTAAAGTTTACAAATATAGCGTGTACTTTTCTAACTTATACACCCAGCTGTGTAAGAAATATTTAAATTATAGCCTACTTACCTTCCAAAACTCCCAGTAACATAGGAACGCTAGAAGGTCCACGTATTAGGTTTCTACACGGACACAGTTTGCGGTCGCACACACCCTGACAGCTGATTCCAGAAAGGAAGACGTGTACTTTTTCTATCCCGTGCTGATTGTTTTGAGCTTGTTTATTCTCCGTCTGTTTGGGCTCGTTTGTTTCCTTTTCAACGGCATCTTTAAACGGGATTTAATCGAATCAATGGCGACGGTGGAGGAGCTGAAGCTGAGGGTGAGAGAGCTGGAAAATGAACTGATCAAGTGTAAGCAGAGGCAGTCTGCTGCGGAGGATGCTCACAATAGACCCAAGATTGATCAAATGAGCGCCGAGGTAGTGGATTCCAACCCATACAGGTACCTTTTCTGGTATTATATTACTAGTTTATTATAGTTTAGTATTATTTGTTAAACCAGAGGTGTCGCCTAGTAACTCATCGCCTTAAATAATCGCTGTGCTGCATTTCTTAACCACATCCTAATCTCTGCTGTCTTCCAGCCGCCTTATGGCTTTAAAAAGAATGGGCATCGTGGATGATTATGAGGTAGGGCTTTTACTGAAAGACTTTTTGTTTGTTTTTTTCTTTTGTTGCTGCTTTTTAAACTGAAAACGATGAAGGAGAGCTGATGTTGAGAAGTAAACCTGCATTAACATGCATATTGTGACTCATCTGAAATGATAGTTCAGGTTTGGTAGAGTCTGAAGCACTGATTCTCTATCAGTATGGATCTGGACTTGCCTGGGCCATTTTTAAATAGGTCAATATGTTTTGATCTTAATTCAATAGTTTAGTTGCATTTATCCTGAGATAGCTTCTCTGTCCCTGTTAAAGAAAGGTATCCCCACAGCATGATACTACCCCAGCTATGCTTTGCTGAGGGAGTGATGTCTTTCGTCAAAGTCCTGAATCGATTCGATTTTGATTCATAGAGTTCTAAATCGATTAATTTCGATTCGATCCGTTTTTACAGTAATGAAAGTTGTTAAACTGTGTTTCAAAATGCTCATGTATTTTATTTTTTTCCTGTCACATTAAACACAAGATGCAAACTTGTAAATCAGATAGTTTAAACTTGAGGTGTGAACAAAGCTGTCTCATAAGTGCAAACTTGCCTCACTCGAGTGTGCAGACGTGACACAGCGGGGACACAGCAGACATGAGCTGCATTATCTCTACTGCACAAACAATATTTGCAGCGTTGTCTGTAACAATTACAGGGTGTTTTCTGGTTAGCCCCCATTTGTTAATGTCTTCAGTCAACCTATTGGCTATATTTGCAGCTGTCTGGCTGCTCATTTAAATTAAAATGTGAACGTCATGCGCGTCACTATAAAACTAATCAACCTCATTCCCTAGACATCGATTTTGCAAAAATGTACAGGAATCGATTCAAAATTGATTAAATCGATTTTTTTACCCAGCCCTACTTCATAGGGATGTCTGGTGTGTTACTTGGTCTTTATGCTTGTGTTTGTTTAATACTGTTTTATGACAAATCATAAAGCTTCACTGAGCAGTCGTGTACAAACAAAGATTGATCTTAATCAGGAAGAAGAAAAGTTATTCAATTATCTAAAAGGATAAAAAAAAATGTTTATACTTTTCCGATTGTCATCCTTTATATTTACTTTTTTTTTGGATGTTGTCAGAATAACTTTTTAGTGTGTTTTTTACATGGTCCTTTAACATTTTCTTAATATATAGTTTTATATTCCCTCAAAGAAAACTATGTGTCGTACTTAGTAGTTATCTGTTTGAATAAAACTGACAAGCTGTGTTTTCGCTCAGCTGAATCCAGATTGGGCAGATCTAACTTATAGATTTTGCAGTGGATTTACTTCATCTTGTCAGTAAATAAAAAAGCAGTGCTATTCTGTTTTTTCATTATTTATAGAACATATGGGTACTAAAGGCTTGTTATGTTTGTAGTGGATTTAAAAAAGAATGGAAATCCTACCAAAGCCTCATATAACAAGTTTTGGATTAATAACTATTTTGGATTCTGTTGACAGAAAATCCGGACATTTTCCGTCGCTGTAGTTGGTGTTGGAGGCGTCGGCAGCGTGACTGCTGAAATGCTCACTAGATGCGGCATCGGTAAGGTAATAGAAACCTCCTTGTTTTTACCTTTTTTGTGACAAATTCTTTCCCATTTTCCTCCCATGTGTTCGGTGTCCTCGTACAGCCTCACCAGTTCTCCCCTCCTTCGGTTTTACAGCTGCTGCTCTTTGATTACGATAAAGTAGAGCTAGCCAACATGAACAGACTGTTCTTCCAGCCTCACCAGGCAGGCCTCAGTAAGGTGGAAGCAGCAGAACACACCCTCAGGTAACATGTTGTCAGCAGAGGGACACCGTAAAGATCCTAACCGCCCGTTCCATTTATCTTTATTTGTTTCATTGTTTTCCAAACAGAAACATCAATCCAGACGTGGCTTTTGAGACTCATAACTACAACATCACAACACTGGCCAATTTCACACATTTCATGGATCGAATCAGGTTGGCATTCCAGCTTCCCAGCTTTGTGTGTATAAAGACATTTTTGTTAACATAATTCTGCTGTTTGTTTGTTTTTTCAGCCATGGAGGGTTGGAGGAAGGAAAACCAGTGGATTTGATTCTGAGCTGTGTGGATAACTTTGAAGCCAGAATGGCCATTAATACAGTCAGTGCCTCACTGTGAGCAGAAAGCAGCAAATCAGGCTGCTCTCTCTAGGTTGTAATATTTCAGTTTTTGATGTTGCAGGCCTGTAACGAACTGGGCCAGATCTGGATGGAATCTGGTGTGAGTGAAAACGCCGTATCGGGACACATCCAGCTCATTATTCCTGGGGAGACGGCCTGCTTTGCCGTATGTTGACAAACTTTTTTTCCCTCCCTGATATCGTTCTTTTTACCAACCCTATGTGGAGACTGTATTCTGTCTGTTCTTTAGTGCGCCCCTCCCCTGGTGGTAGCTGCCAACATCGATGAGAAAACCCTAAAGAGGGAGGGAGTGTGTGCTGCCAGCCTGCCAACTACAATGGGTGTGGTTGCAGGCCTTCTGGTGCAAAACGTCCTCAAGTACGTCGTCATCGTCAACCCCTCTGGCTGGCGTGAATGAAGCCATGACAAAGTTAGATTTATGTACTTAAACTCTCAAGATTTTAGGAGATTCATGGGTTTTGTTCTTCAGGTATCTGTTGAAATTTGGGACGGTCAGCTATTATCTCGGATACAACGCCATGCAGGACTTTTTCCCCATGATGGCCATGAAGGCCAACCCTCAGTGTAATGACCGCCACTGTCGGCGGCAACAGGAGGAGTATAAGGTTAGGAGTTTTTCCTCTGTTTTGGGGGGAATTTTTATGCAATAGCAGACCACAAAATAGAATGTAAGTGTGAACTGGAATTTGATTATCATTTCAGTTGCTTAAGAGCTTAGATTGTAAGCTAAAAAAAGTTGGAAAATGTCAGGGGAATGAATGCATTTTGTAGTTGCTGCATCAGTTGGGGAAACCTAGTTTTGACCTGTGTGATATTTTGTGTTCAGAAGAAAGAAGCAGAGCGGCCCAAGGTGGAAGTGGTGCAGGAGGAGGAGGGAGAGATCGTGCATGAAGACAATGAATGGGGTGAGCGGAGGTTCTATTTGTTGCATCGACTTTACTTCCTTGATTTCTTCTTCTCTAATAATGAATATAAACACTACTCCGCAGGTATTGAACTGGTTTCTGAAGTGACTGATGCCGAGTTACAGGCGGCAACGGGGGCTGTGCCTGACCTGCCAGAGGGCATCACTGTGGCTTACACCATCCCAGCTGAGGTTAGTTTCCTTCAACTAGCCACAGATTTAAAGGAACTAGCTTGTTGGGTTAACTTCTTTAATGGTTTGAACAATAAACAGTTGCTGCACGTTTCCATCTTGATAATTATACCCTGTTTCTGTACCAGGAAACGGGCAGTGGAGAGACGGTGGAGGAGAGTGAAGTGAGCTTGGAGGATTTAATGGCTCAAATGAGAAAGTTGTAGACAACGAACCGAAGATGCTTTTCTGCAGGACATTTTTTCGTTTTTGTATTCATATTTTTTTATTTTACATTCCCCACCAAACAGAGAACTCTAGAATAAACTAAAGAACTAAACAGATCATGCATGAAACTGGCTGCAGACACAAATTAATAACTGGAATGACATCAAATTCTCACGAAATGTCTTAAAGTACAAAATTATTTGTAAAAAATGCTCCTTAATCTGTTTATTAAGGTTTATTTTGACTGTTTCCATTTCTCTGCCATGTGACCTTCCGCCATAACATTTCTGAACACTGTCTCAATAAAAATATTTAATAGATTCTATCTGATCTTCTTAAAATGTTGCATGTTTTATTCTCCAGTGCAGATTTACAACATGAACACAGTGGATATAAAAAGTTGCACACACCAAGGTTGAAATATCAGGTTAATCTGATGTATATATTTTTTGTACTTTTTTCCACATTTAATAAAACTAATTCTCTATAGTTATATGGAGAAGTAACACTAATTTCTGTTTCACGTTCAGCCTTCACTCATCTTGTACAATCAATAAAAGGTAAATGTAGTTAAACGAAAGGAAGTTCCAACTCTCCGTTTAGGATTACCATCTTAAATATTTCTGGCTGTGTTAAACATGAGCTAAACCTTTTATTCTCTATGTCTGCATGGACTAATGGTCATTGCCATTATTTAAGGAAATTTAATCAAAGATAAAAAGATGGTTGATCAAAAGAGAAGTGAAGTCAAAGGTAAGGAAATTGATAAAATGATCATTTTACTCTCTTAGTTCCTCAAACCTGGCATTTAAAACAGGGATATGTAGACATTGAAACCAACTTCACATGAATGTATAAAAAGAAAACATTTTATAATTTTGATACAATAAAAACTATTAAATTATATAGTTACAGTTGAGACATTCAAGTGGAACACATGTTTTTGTTAGGAATCTAATCTTTTCTAGGTTTTCATTAGATCTACCAGAGTTTGTGTGTTTATTTGGTACAAAAAGGGTGACACCATTATTAGGGGGAAAAATGTAAACTCACTAGAGATTTGTTTAAAACTTTGTCCTTTTCATGTTCCATTTTAAATGTACTCAAGCAAGATTAGGTAAATAACATACATAAATTACAATAAACATTCTTCTCTCTAAAAATGTACTTTAGTTTATACAAAAATGAAGGCTTAGCGTTATGTAAACTTTAAAATGGTCCTCTTGGTTTCAGTGGGGAAGTGAAATTTACTCCAGAAACTCTTGTTTTCTGAGGTCATTAGTGTTGTTTACTCTTTACTATCATAACATGACTAAAAGTGCATCAAAAGCTTACATGCTTAAGTGTTTATTGGCACATTTTCAGTTTCTTTTATGCGAAAAAATAATGCAGAGGTCAGTTGTTATTTAAAACTTCACAAAAAACTAATTTAAAAGATTTGGAGAACTTGAGAGATCATCTCTAGAGATGTAAAGCAAATCCACACAGCAATGAGATTTTTTTTTTTTATAACACTGTTGTGATATAAAGTCTTTGGAGAAATTTACCCAGATAAAAAGACTAGAAGGTGCTAAATGAAATCCGAGGTTGGAGGTCTGTATCTGTAAGGAGCATAAAGGAAACGTATCTTTAGTGTCTCCTTGAAAGCTGAGCACTGTTGCCTTTTTGTAGTTTTTCACGCTTTGAATAAATGTACACAAAAAATAAAGTGTCTGTAACTTTTTCCCAAGTTAATCAAAAGTTCATGGGTGAAGGAAACCCTTCACTGTAACACTTTGAATATAAGTTGGTTTCTCCTCCACAGAGCATTCCCATCTGATTGTGTCTTTACATTCATTACATCTAACCCTCCGTGATGAAGGTTGGAAGTTTCATCTGTTCTATGGAGAAATTTCCTGGTGTGATTCCCAGTGAAAACAGTCACCTTGCAGCATGTGGTAGAGGAGCAGGTGTCTTCAGACTGAACGTGTCTCCGCTGGAGGAATGGTGAGACGGCGCGTTGCCACACACCAACGAAGGCTCTGCTTCTTTAATCTCCATCGCACACTTATACAGCTCCGCCGCCCTCTCAAAGTCACCTTCCTCATAACTGGATTAGATGACAGCATGAAAGCAAAATAATTGAAGCAATGTGAGGCGTTTTTTACGGTGTTAAGAGGCTGATAAATATTCTTACCTTAGCACAGCCAGGTTTTTCAGGGTTTCTCCGACCCGTGGATGTGAGCGGCCCAAACTATCTTCGTAGACTTTCAGTGCTCTTTCATAAAGTGGCAAGGCCTCACTGTGTTTTTTCTATAAAAATAAAAGTCTCAATTAGCTTTTGGCCATAAAACCCAAAAGAAAATATATAAACTGACAGTGGAAAACCAGAAAAAAACCACCAAAAACTGCAAAAATTCAAATGTTTATTCATTTAAAACCTATCAAAACCAACTTGACCCTTTGTGAAAAAAACTTTTTCCATTTAGTATTTAGATCAAAGAATGTTTGTGTGGTGAAACTGATAAATCCAAATGATTATCTGCAAGATTTGAGTAATAGCTGTTTACAGACTGCTTGAGCCGGTCCAAATGAGCTTGAGCTATTCTGCAAAGGAGGTTAGGCAAATATTTGGCTGTAAAGCTTGTTAAAACGACCTCTCAAAAGACCTGCAGTGCAAATGTGTCATAAATTGGCAAAAAAATCCAATTTTTCTGAGTCACAATGCATTAAATTAATGGATCTACATATTAACACTTCAAATAAATGCACTATGTATGTTGGTCTATCACTGAGAAGTGTGGTTTTAATTGGGTAAAATAAACAGTTCCAGGGGTGTGAATACTTTTAGCGATGCATGAAGGATTTGTGGATGAGTCTCACCAGTTGGCAGAAGAGGACAGCGAGGTTCACCAGTGCTGTAGCCACACTTGGGTGTTTGGGGCCAAAACTCTTTTCTCTGATTTCCAGAGAAAGCTCATAAAGTGGAACGGCCTTCTCCAGCTTACCCTTCATGGGAGACATTAAAATAAAAATGAAATACCCCCCAAAAACACTTGATTTCAAAATTTAATCTGACTGATGTCTCACTCTGCGCTTATAGAGCATGGCCAGGTGTTTGACAGTGTACGCCAGAGAAGGGTGGTCTGAGGACAGCGCTTTCCTGCGGATCTCCAGCGCCCTCTCATACATGTCCTCTGCCGTTTCGTACTCCCTCCTTTCTGTGTGGAGCGCAGCCAGGTTGTTGAGAGACTGAGCGCAGTCTGGGTGATCTGGACCGAGGACACGTTGGCGCATCTCCAGGGAACGGGTCAGGAACACTTTGGCTGCACTGATGAGAGGAAAAATGAAGAAAGATTTTAAACATTTAGGTGAACTATAAATATGATGGTAAATGGAACTGCTCTATAAGGTTAGATCCTCATACTGGGTAGTTTAATAGAGTGTTTAAGGTGAACTGGGTCTTACTCCAGGTTGTTTTGGAGGTAGTAAAGGACTCCCAGTTCATTGAGCGTCTTGGCACAGTCTGCAGTGTCCTTCCCCAGAGTCAGCTCTTCTAGCTGGAGGGCTCTACGCCTCAACAAAGTAAAACCGTACTGATAAGGGAGTAAAACAAACATGGAAGAAGGTTTTAGATGTTTTATTAAGACAGCATGACTCTATTTTATTCACATGTGAAAGATAATGTGATCTTTGTAACTAAAGTTGTGTCACGCATTGGATTATAAGGAAAATCATACTTAATTTTCACACTTCTTAATATTTTGCATACCTGACTGCATTTATTGGGGTGTTTATCGACCAGCTTTGCACATATAGTTCAGTCAGACTAGAAAGTGAGTGTCTGCAAATTTACCATGGATTATCATTTAGATTTGGGCCTTTGTGCTGAACTAGGGGAGCTCAAAGTGAGCGCTGGGAGCCATTTATAGTCCTTGGAATGATGTGCAATGCAATCTAATAATGGTGCAAATCTAACTGACCCGCACAGCTAATAATTTGTATTTCTAAAAAAAACAAACAACAAAAAAACAAACAAACTTGTACTGGATTGGTGCTGCAAAAAGCAGCTTTTGTAGCATTAGATCTGTTTCCAATAAAAAGGCTTTTGGATTTGTATTTAAAAATGAAATATTTTGTCAGCGTTGAGTCACTATTTTGGCCCGTCTAACACAAATATATGACACTGTTGATCTAATGATTCCATCGTAGCTCTGGCCGCATGTTTAGAGTTGTTCTGCTCAAAGGCTTCACCTACAAATTTCATATTGAGGTCAGTCTGATAAGCAGTGGTTCTTTTTTTAGATTGCAAAGTGTTCTGCATGCAGGCAATGATAGTCAATGTTGGTTTCATCAAAACAGAGCACTCTCTTTACATTTCAAACAGAACCTCTCATGGCTTTGTTTAAACCATGGCTCTCTTGTTGCCATTTCTTCAACTCAGTATTCCTTAATAGATTCTCAAACCTGACATGTTAATCTCTAGAACTCTTCCAAAGTTACAATAAGCATCTCTTCACAGCCTCTGTGATTGAAGCTGAGCTTTGCCTCTTTAAAGTCATTTTGTTTGTATATCTTTCCTTGGTTCAGTTTCCTGTCTCGGCCCATTTGCTTCAGATCTTCACTATCTCTCTGTACATTTTCTAATTTTAAAACTGTTTCCATATTTTTCAGTGAGTTCCTTGACCTTCACGATGGTGCTCTTTCCTTACATTGTCCATTTCCTGTATATGTGTCGATCTATCATATTAAATCTTAATAACATACTTTGTTTAAGGTTGAAATTGAAACACATTTATTTACTGAAGAGAGACAAGTACGGATGTGAAAAATTCGCTCACCATGTGACCTTTTTGGCGTGCCGTCTTTTGACGAATTCTTACTGACCTTTTCCGGAGTTTCTCAGCTTGTTCATATCTGATTAATAGAAAGTCTAAAATGTTTAACTGAACCTGATACAGAAACGCTGAATTAAGTCCTCAAAAATCGTTTGGGAGTACATGTAAAAAAAAAAAAAAACATTTACTTGTTTTGTTTCTGATAGAGCATGGCAATGGACTCCAGCTCCTGTGCCACAGTGACATGCTCAGCACCGTAGGCATTCTCGCTTATCTCAAGCGCTTGCTTGTACAGCTGTTCAGCATTCCCATACTTCTTCCACTGGACATAAACTCCAGCCAGCTGGTGCAGCGAACGAGCGACACTGGGATGGTCTGGGTCCAGGGCTGTCTCTCTGATCTCAAGAGACCTTTGTAAAGGAGCAACAGCCTAGAAGAACACGTCGAAGTTTAGCAGAAAGAAATGGTTTACGTTTTATATGCATGATAAAGAAAATCACCCAATGTACCTGACTTGGAAGACCTAGGTCTTTGAGAAAGCGACCTAAAGTCTCGTAAAGGTTTGCAAGCTTTGTCATACTGTCTTCACTCTCGCAGCTCTTCTCGTATCGTTTTAGGGAGTCGAAGTATTCAGTTGCCATGGAGCTTTTGTCTTTTCCCACATACTGCCAGTAGGCTAGCAACTCAGAAAAATGACCCCTGGGAGGAATAAGAAAAAAAAAAGTAAACAAAGACAAAATGCAAAATCTTAGAATGATTAAATACCGTCTCATAACCCCACATATTTTCAGTAGAAGCAAACTTTTACCTTTTGTACAGGTTTTGGGAGACAAACAGGTTCAACAGACTGAGCTGAAGTTTAGTTTTGTCCTCCTGCTGCTGGTGCAGCCAGGGAAGCTCATCTGCAACACGCCATGTGACGCAGTCCTGGCTGCAAGCATACACACATCGATTTGAGATTCACCGGCTGTAAAATAATATCTGCGATATTTGTGTTAGAGTTAGAGGGGAGGATGAATACGCTGCACACCTGAGCTGCTGATTGAAGTAATGGATTAGTTTCTCCCTGTAGGAGGCACAGCCACTTCCTCCACCCAGGAACTCCAGCCTCACAGCTTCACAAGCCTGCAAGGCAGACAAATAATAAAATAAGACTCTATATTCAAAATATATCATTAATCTAATTCATTTTAGTAATCCTGAATACAAATGACAAATCTATTTATAAGGTAATGTGAGATCTTACGTGGATTTACTAGAAAGTATAAAGCTAAAGAATAAGCATCACTGATTATTAAATAGAGAAAACCAAGGACAGAAGTGACTTAGAATGCCATTTAGTAGTTAATATACTGTAACCGAGTTAAAAGAAAGTGGTTTGGATTGTTTTTTTCTTTCACTTAACTTTCCATTTATATGCTTTGATTATGTACTTTGTACACTCCTTAAGCTTAAGCCTTTTTTGGTGTAACTTCTTTGTGGAATGTGTCAACAAGTCAACAGTCTTGAACCTCATAATATGGCCATAAACTAACATTCTATAAAAAGGTTGGTGTGGGTGACGTTCTAATTTCTTAAAAAAATAGTATTGGATTCTTATCATTTGTTTGGTAAAATCTTAAAAACCAAGAGGAGTAAGTGATGGATATATGTAACTGTGTGACATATGAGTTTTAAAGTGTTGAACTGAATCACAAAAACAAATTAACTTTCTAATAGTTTTCTTTTATCGGTTAGATGCACTGGAGCGCTGCTTGAGAAAATATTTAACACGTCCCAAAATCCTGGACTTGATGTCCAAAATTCAGTGCCACCATTGGCCAGTAGGTGTCAGCACACCTACGTTACTGTTACCTTTTGGAAAGGTTTCTTTCAATACTAGAAAATAATATAAATATAATTTAATATTGCACAGAGGAGAAACTTGGGTGTCCCAGTAAGAAACTAAAATGCATATAGAAGCACATAGATACACACTAAGGTAAAATATATATAAACAAAAAAAGAATATGACACTATGACAGTAATTCAAAACTAAGATGAAAAAAAAAAACAAGACTGCCATTTCTTTCGTTGTTTATTGTATATATCGAGGACTTTTAGCCATAAAGAGAGAGTTTCTTTTAGTTGTTCTAGATGCTTTATAACATGCTTATGTCTTTTTTTGTTCCTATGTTAGGCATTCCAATCTGTTCAACCCTGTGGTCAAATGTTTCTTTTTTAAAGTAGCTGGCTTAGTTTCAACTTTTATTTGATAATTTTATATCTGTGGGATAAAGAAGATTTTTATCGTCTTCTGAATCATATGGACCAGGTGTGCAGCTGTTTACCTGCAAGTGCTGAAACCTGATGAGTCCACAGCGGAGGGTCACAATGCAGAGTCTGTTTAGGTGGTGGAGCAGAGAAGACAGAGCTGGCCACTCTAGCCCTGGGAAAAGATCTAATGCCTCTGATTCACTCACTCCATTGTGGCTGGAAAACACAAGGCACAGCATCTAGGAGAGGGAAGGAAAAAAAGCATTTATTCTTCTGCTAAGCATTAAAAAAAATGCAGTCAAATATGTCCGTTTATCTATTGCTGCGGTTACAGCAAAGCCTAGATATGACAATGTTTCACCTCTTTCATTATGTGCCTCTCTCGCTCCGAGTTGAGGGACTTTAACATCATTCTTAGCGCCAGGCGATAGAGAGACAAGGTGTCCTGACACTGCAGACACTGTTCCAGGTTCTTCTCCAAGGTCCCACCAGATCTAAAACCATCCAAAACAAGTTGATTTATTCTTAAAAAATGCTATCTAATACACAGAAATCTTTACTTTCCTAAAAACATAGTGTTTGAGGATGTTAAAAGGTGTAGCATATCCTTATCTAAGATTTTCTAAAAATGTCAGAAAAAAAAAAAAAACCTATGCAATAAATTCAAACACTCTAAATACAGAAGACCAGTCCAATTCACAAGTCATTTCTAAAGAGTTTAATAGGATTTAAAGGACATTTTCTGCAACCGTTAAATGTGACTGAAATAGAAGAAAGAAATGTAGGTGAGTCCTGGTCTAACCAATCTAAAAAAAGACCTAACTTTTACTTTACTTTCCTATTTACACACACCCAATACAGAACCCAGAAAGTAGACATGGCTGACCTGGTAATCATCCTTGCCAACAGTGTGACATACAGTGCATTGCATGTCGATGCAGAGCGACAGTGCCTTTCCAGCTTTTTCTCCTACGACAAAATTAAATCTATAAACCGTGCAGATAAATGCATTTATTCATAATAATAAAAAAAAAGCATTCTACATTTCCACACTGACCTGATCCTTGGTGAGTCTAAGATCGGTCGCCTGACACTCTCCAGTGACTACACTCTTAACTTCTCTGGGACTAAGTGGGTCCAAGTGAAGGGTAGGCCACAACCTAAAGAAAAAAGTATTTTTTGAACTGCAGATGCTCCCATAAGTGTGCAGATTTAGAACGCACGCTCACAGAACAGAAGGCATTAGGAGCAGAAATGTCATATCTAAATTTTGCTTTTAATTATGGATTTTTGTTGTTCTTTTAAAGAGTACAATACCTGCATAATAAAACAAGGACTGGATGCACAACCACATAGGATCAACTTTTAAGTAAAGCTAGGGAAAACAAAACTTGACTAAATGTGAAAAAAGCACTAATGTCATCCTGTTGTGTGCATTCCTAAACCAATTTCCAGGTTTCTTTGGGATCATGTTTCTGTAGGAAAACCCAATTAGGTCGAAGTTTCAAAAAAAAATATCAACAACAGATGAAAGAAAAGTGGCGCATGGAACATTGCTGGCCACGGTTTTTAGGGGATTATTCATACTGTAAAGCATGGTGGTAACAGAATCACTCCGACGATCTGGATCATATTTGGTGGTGTTGGTTTACTGCAATAAGAGGGATGGATTAATGAGGAAGAAACTGTCATTGATACATGTTTTTATGTCTTCTAGACTGAACTACTGCCACTGTCTTCATGTAGGATGGAGCAGCTTTCCTCTGGGTCGCCTGAGGCTAGTCCAAAAAGCTACTGCATGTTTGCTAACAAGACACATAAGGAAGCTGTCCTAATTTTATCCTCCCTGCATTTATTGTTCATACATTTTAGGATTCATGTTAAGGTTTTAATTTTGTTTTTGGAAAGAATTAAAAGGTTTGCAAAGTATTTAGTTAGACAGTTACAGCAGCAGGTTCCCAAAGAAATTTAATCTAAAAACTCTCTTTGCTTTTAGATGTTTCTAGGACTTTTTTGTTGTGTTACTAAACTCTCAAACAAAACTTTTAAATAATATCATGCCCTTCTTTAGATTCAGAATTTTTAACCCATGGACATTTAACAATATACTTGTGGAACAAATTCCCATAATTGTCTCTATATGTGTAATTTTAATCTTGCAACACGGTCAACAATAAACTGAAAACTTTGATCCTTTTGTGGATGCGGAGACAATTTGCAGTCAAATTATTACCTCCAAGCCTGAGGACATGTTTCTACATTAACCGACACCACCACTCTGACGTTGACAGGAAGAGGGTCAATCAACCACTTCATGTGCCTTTCTGCTTGCTGAAACAGGCAAAGTGATAAAGAACATTACTGAAATATGATAATAAGCTCTACAAATTCAGACAAAAATATGTTGTGTTGAACTTAAAGTGGAGAAAGTAATCACCTGTATTTGGTCAATTGAGTCAATGATGATGATGATGTTTCCTTGGTGCCGAGCAGACAGTCTCTCCAACCAGCGAGGAAATTCTTCCAAAATCTTACTGGGATCCATGGATAAACCAGAGATGGACCAAAAGTGCTGCAGCAGCTAACAGAAAATGGATGAGAATAAACAGACTGTATTCAAGACATGTCTTAGCTGGAAGAAAATCCATGACAGGGAGTTTTTACCTTGACTGTGAGGCGTTTGATAATGAGAACAGGCTCTGAGCTTATGGAAAGGGGGCGTCCGACAAAATGATAAAGGAACAAAGTGTTGGGGGATTGCTTCTGCTGCAGCTCCATCCTGTAAAAAATGAAGAATCCATAAAAAAGAGGCAGCCTACACATAAAACGCAGAACTATATACTTTCTGAAGACAACAAATCAGTCAACCTTTAATTAAAAAGCCCCAGAAACAAATAAAGAAGTGAAACAGTAGAATAAAAAAAGACTATGAATTGATCAAACTAACAACTACAAAAAAAAGCAAAATAATTGGAACTAATCAAAGAAATTTTACAAGACGATCGTTTCAAACACCTGTTCAATGTATAGTAAATAAATATATTTTATAAAATACACAATACGGGTAAGAATATTTATGTTGAAGTTATAAATAGCCAAAACAGAAATGTAAGAATAAAAAAAATGAACTTTAACTAAAAGTGAAACTGATTTTTTTGTGACTGTATCAAAATTTTGTTCTGTGCAGAAATCTTCTCTCACCATTTGGAAAGCAAGAGAGACTTTCCTGAACCTGGACCCCCGGACACCAGTAGGGGCGGCGTCGGCGGAGGGGCAGCTATCATGTCGTTTAAACGATCTATATACTGAGAGGAACAGCACATCAATTTAATGGATGAAAAGTATTCTTTAAGGGAATGTTAGAGAAATAATTAGTTATACCTTTTGGAAGCCTAAATGGGAGGTGGTGCTGCTGCAAGCCTGCTGGTAGGATTCAATCTGCTCCTGTTCGTCGTGGAGGTCCCAAAGCACATCACCCAAATCCTCCTCCTGACCAACATCTATGGCAGAGTGCTTGGAGTCATCATCCGCTCCTTCCAAACCCAACAATTCCTAAACAGTGAAATTATATTCAGCATTTAAAAAGGACAGTAACCTGAAAACAATGTCCAGATTTTAAACAAATAAAAAAAACATGATGGTCTGCACCTGCTTGATGATCTTTTCTAGTTGAGCAAAAATCAGTTTAGCTCCTTCTTCAGCAGAGCCGCTGTGATCCACCACCTAACAAACGGTAAAAGGGAATTTTCTTCTATTAGTGAGAGACCTAGACCCTAGTTTCTTGCTTACAAACATGTTCCACTGTTTTAAAAAAAATAAGAATCAGTTGTTTTCAAATCAATACAACAAAAAGGAGTTGTCAATGCTTTGAACCTCAGATTTGAACTTAAAAAAAAGATTTAGGGGCCAAAAGGAGGAAAAAAGGCCTTCTATACCTTTAAACAAGTATGATTTTGTGCAAGTGCTCTCTTCCTGTTACTTGAAAATAAAAGCTACAAAAAATCGGAACAACAAACAAATTGTGATGTGGCAACTCCAACTTAGGAGTTCTCTTTATAAAATAAATATAAAAATCCTTCCAGTGGTCAGAAATGAATATTGATATCTTTCAAAAATGAAACAAGGTAAAAAAAAAAGAAAAAAAAAGTTTAATATCCTTCGAATTCAATTTATCAAGAATTAAAAAACAAGACAGTATGGGGGGACTGTAATTAAGTAGTAATATCCACACAAAATATAAAAACTACATTATTATTATTTTACATTTTTTCCCGATTTTTTAAATACCGGTATTCTATTTATTTTATTAAATAATTGGGAGAAAGACGAAGTACCCGGGGAGAACCCACGCATGCTCAAGGAGAACATGCAAACTCCATGCAGAAAGACCCTGGGCCAAGAATCGAACCCGCAACCTTCTATTTATTTAATATAAAAAAAAATTAAAAGTAAAAATAATAACAATAAAAACATAATTATGAAAAGATAAAAAGATACAAAACTAAGTGGAGCTGAGAGAGGATTGCTTTACTAGCTCAGCCATCATGCACAAACATTTAAGCCTAATTTATCACAGTAAAATGTATAATGCCGGCTTACAATAAACAGAAATGATATTTGAATCATTTAGTCACGACAGAACAGATTTGTTTCCCTTATATTCTCTAGAGTAAATATAGAAGTTACACACCTTGACTTTGGCAGCCTTGTCTGCTGCATTGACCCTTTCCAACAGCTGCCTGACAGGCCCAGTCAAGCTGCTGTCCTCTTCAGTCCTAAGGTAGAGCACCAGTGGGTGACCATCCGGGTTCTTAACAAAGGCCTCGTCACAATCCTCTGTCATAGACCTGCAAAATAGATGTTACTCAGTATATCAAGAAAATCCATTATTTCTGCAGACACAGAGCTACTACTTCCCCCTATACACCTGAAACCAAATGTTTACACTGTATAAAAAGATAGATCAGCTGTTCTCTTCATACTCTGGCCTTATATCAGACTAAGAATTTCCTGTTTTAGATCAATTATAAAGCCAAGATTAATTATATTTCCTAAATGTTCAACTATTCAATGTTCAACTAGATGTAGTTGTTTGAATTTTATATCATTTACTCCAAATTCAGAAGTCTTTATATATACAAGTTTATATAAAAGCAACAATTTTTGTTGAACTTCGGGGAGCTTCTTGCAGAAAGCGCTAATGACGTATGGAAGAAGAGTTGGAGATGTCACAGTTTGCTTTCTAAATTGTGGCTGAAAACAGCAACTCTGTATTGGTAAATACACTGAAGTCATAAAAGAATCAGGTGGTCTCCACCCACATTAGCTGCACCCTACTCCATAAAAAAACTCAGTGAAAATAGGAGGGCTAGCTTCACGCAGGTGTCATACCACCAGTGGTGCAAACAGTAGGTATGCACTATATGAGGTGCTAGAGGGGGCAACAAAGCGATAGTGGAACAATAATTTCTAGTCACTAATTTCTGCATCTTGCAGTTATTTTGATTGTTTTTTTGTTCTTTAGAAATGAAAGGGGAGGGGGCACACCTTAACGTGGCGACTGCAGGGTTTTTTTTGTGGGGGCGGCTCTGTTTTCATTTTAATCACAATTTCATCTGATGACAAATAGCTGAAGATGAGGAGTCAGAAAAAGAGTTTACAGGGGCTGCATAACAACAACCGAGAACAGTGAGAAAGACAAAGGTGTTTATATATTAAAATATATTTAAAAAATACTTTTTTAAATATATTAAAAGGTGGAGGAACTTGCAACTGTGTAAAGGAAAACATCTCTTTTCTAGAGAGATGTTTTCTAGAGAAAAAATAAGCCTAGAGTCACCTTGAGTTTTTTTTTCTGTATACTCTTGTCAGTTAGGCTCAAACCTACATGGCTTAAACACTGTTAGCTAATATGGTTAGCATGTATCAAGGTCACCTGGTTTAGCTAGCGCATGAAGTTTTGTCATGGCTGTGGTCTGAAATTTCCATATCGCAAGTCACTATTTCCAGTAAGTCTACAAAAGCAACATAAAGAAATACAAAGTTTACAAATGATCCCAGACCTTGTTTGGAGAAACATCCTTAGGTTTGGTCGATGAAAATGTACAGTATGTATTTGGCCACAATGTCCCTAAATATGTTTAAAAAAAAAGATGGAGTAGAGGAAAGCAGACTGTTGCAGGTTTTTTTTTTTGCTGCACTTCATAAAATAAATTGCATCAAGAGCATATTGTGGGAATATCAAGAACAAATCCCAAGGCATCAGGTAAAAAATACACATGAGAAGCTTGTGAATATATAATAAATATAAAAATGGTTAGCTTTACATATGCAAAGAAAATGCAAACATCTGGTTTCCACTTTTTAGTAAAGTTTCCTTTCTGTTATGTTCATATTTTTGTTTGCTTTAGATAGTGGCATTCATTTTTCCAAAGTCAAGAAACAAGTAAAAGCGATCATAAAAACACAAACCAAACACAACTAAGAAAACTACTGGAAATGCCTCAGGAGGATAGCACTAAAAAACAAAACACGACAGGATTTTAGTTATCAAAATGTTTTCCAAAAACTCTTGAGTGAACAGACAACCATTATCCTTAAAACATTCTTTTGTTAATGCTTATTATTATAATGATGATAATAATCAACCCCCTTATTATTATGTAATATCATAATAATAATCAGGGGAAATATGAAAGTGTGTGTGTGTACCTTGTGACAGTGGATTTAAGAAGAATAAGACACACTGAACTCCGCTCGATCTCCTGCTTTCGCAACGCTGCATATGAAGAGGTATTCTCCTCTGGAAAGTAAACGTTTAGGTAGAAATGTCCCAGACCCTCACACATTCTCCGCAACACAGAGGAGTGTTTCTGTCCAAAAAAATAATAATAATAAAATAAAATAAATATATATACATATATATTGTATACAAGAAAAATATTATTGGCAGTTCACTGTTGTTAGGATATTACAACTTAATATTAGCTGCCTGTTGCAACTTGCATGTCAGAACTGATGTTTTCCCCAATAGTTTATCTAATTAAGACAGTTCCTCTGTCTGGATATACAGTTATAATCATCTTTCTGTATGTGGCAAATAATTGGGAATGGAATGAGAGCAGTGTCCTCCAGCTAAGAACAAAGTTTAATATTTTGATAAGGCTGGAGCCATGGATGTCTCCTCATCTGCAAATGTTTATGATGTAACGATGTGATGATGTAGCATACTGAAGTATAAAATGCTTATCTACCTGTTTGTCATGGCCACTTCCCTTGAAGTGAGTCCGGCTGGTAAGCGCTGCCTTGTGTAACTCTAAGCAACTTCTCTGATCTGAGTAAGATTACAATTTATATCGAAATCTGATGTCATGTCTCATGGTTATTTAATGCCTATACGTTCTGAAGTGTTATTTAAAGAGTTTGTACCGTGTGATCTCTTTTCAGGAAAAAGAACCGGAGAGAGAAAGTTTCAAGGTGTAGACACAGATCCTACCTTTTTAAAACTGTAATTAAAATAACTTTCTGATATTAGCGCCTGATATCATTAGCCTTGAATTATCATTGACATGAGAACGATACATTTGAATAAAGGTCCTGTATTAAAGTCTTGTATTATATTTGCGTGTACTGTTTTTTTCTCTGTCCATACACGGGATGGCTTAAGATCTCCAAAACATCGAGGGTGTTGACATATAGGTTTTAATGCTTTGGGGCACCAAGGGGCCCTCAAGGACTACATGGGGTTCCTTCTGCATCTTCTAAAAAACAACTTACTAAATTGTATGTTATTCTGTTTTTTCTTTTTGGTCACACTTTAATATATAGAGATTTTAGAATTACAATATCTAAAAGAAAATTAGAAATTAAAAGAAATATTACAAATATGTTTTTCACAGCTGACTCCATTCATAGTTCAGTATGGGTTGCCCCTCTGATGACTCAGTTCTCATGAACTAGGTCAAGAGGAGGGATAGAATTGAAAGGATTTTAAGGCATTTATTTTTTCAGTAAATACATTATTAACCTTTATTTTGTAAACATCCTTCACAATGTTAAGGGATTTATAAATCCAGAACTGCAGCATCCGCTTGAATTCATCCCAAAGGTGTTCCTAAAAATTTGGTAGCATAACCCAAAAGTATTTGCGGATATATTGAATCTAAGTTAATTCTAATACTAAGAAATACCCCAAACCCCTTATATTCCTTTATCAATAAGTAATAACAATAGCTCCCTAGACAACAAGTGTTGACTGCTCTAGATAAGAGTTTAATGATTTTTTAAGCTGAATAAGCAGGAATTTAGTTATATGTGGTTTTAATATCCAGTCCTTCTATTAAGGTGTAAAACATAATATTAATGTCAATATATCCCCTAAACAAGACCATCTTACAACTACTAATCTACAGTGTCCATGAAACTGACCCTAATAAAGATATCCAGCTCAGTTTTGGTGTCTTGTGTGGCGATTAGGTAGCAGCGCACGGTGTTACTCCATAAGGCCTGGGGTACATGAGGTGACACCTGAAGTAGACTGGCCACTGCAGCATCCCAGTCATCTGATGGAAATAAACACACAACAGATTATGTTGTTTACATGCTGCAGAAAATAACAATACACCGATAAGCCTTTAAAAACATGTTATAAAGCACAAACGTGGTAAAGCTATGAATCAGCAATTTAAACAGTTATTGATGTATTGACAACATTTCAGTGCTTATAATATGCTTGACGTGCATTTTCCTGATGGTGTGAAAAAAAGGTTGCAATAAAGCCAAGCAGGATCCAGTCAGGGCCCGATCTTGCAAGATTCCAAATAAACAAGGCTAAATTGCAGGAAAAGATTTTCTTTGTCTGTGTGCAACAAGTGGATGTGTTGAAGGTAAATTACAAAGATTGCTGTACAAAGTAGTTTGGTTCCACCCTATTGAAGAAAACCAGATACATTCTGATAAAGGAAGTTTGAGAGTGGCCACAAAAGAAAGATAAGCTTCTAAGCCATGTAGTCAGAAGTAAAAATGACTGATATTTTATCTATAGTGCACTTTGCATAGGTAGCCAGGTATCTGAAAGTGGGATGGACATAAGTAAAACCAAAAAAATGACGAAAATAACTATATATACATACATACGTGTATATACTCATTAAAAAACATTGAAGGAGAATTTAAAAAATACCTCCTACCCTCCTATCATAAGTAAGAAATGCACATGTTGTGTGCATACAAAGATGCATGTTTACATTTGTGTATCCTCCAGCCATAAATCTGCACAGCTGTGAGAATATGATCTGTATTTTGATTAATCTACAGATGCAAAAAAGAATGGTTTGCCTGATAAACACGTTTGCAGATGTTTCAAGAGGAAACCTTATCTTACCTTAAACATCAGGCCCTTAGTGTCTTACAATTAGAACTATTACTCTTGAACACAGGATGTTAACACAACCACAAATAACATTTTCAACTTGACCTCAAATGTTTTTATGAACCTTCCTTTATTTTGTGGTTTCACCTGTACAGGATGTCTCAGCTATAGCTTCCTTACCCCTGCTAACATTTGCAAATGGTCCTTCAACATCTATTAAACTGTGTGCAAACTCCGGTCCTCTGAACGTCTGCTGCAGTTGCATCATGCTACCCATTGAAGGTTCACTTCCCAGCACCCCACCGGTCCAGTATTCACACTGAGTTCCAACTGCTGATGAGAACAAAAAAATAGTATGTGAATTAAAACAGGAATATAGAGGAAAAAACATGTCTATAGATATTAGTGTCTTACCAGTCACAGTGGTTTGGTTATCATCTGAATCAGAGTCAATTGGACTAAAAACATGAATACCCTGAGTCTGCAGCTGCTGCAATTTGGCCTCCAGATCCCTCTTTGCACGCAGCAGATCTTGTATCTCTTTCTCTTTTGTCTCACGGAAAATCTAAATTCAAGTGAGCATCAAGTTAAAAAGACAGGACTTTGCGGGAAAACCCGCAATTTGCTCGCCTAATTGGATAAAAGCTATAATAAAAGACGATGTCACAAATACAATGTAGAGAGAAAAAAAACGGGTTTATTTTTACCTTAAACTGCCGTTTCACCTTGTCCCTGTCATGTTCAAAGGTGGCAGCCCTTTCCATAGCTTGGTACTTTGCCTCAAGGGCAGCCTCCTTCTCTCTGAGAATCTTCTGGTAGGTTTTCTGAAGAGCCTGTTAAACCCCAACAGGACACTTTAAACACTCACCTCATTATATAAGCTATATATCTATCTTTAAATAACTTTAACTAAACAGTATACCTAAAATACTATAGGAAATAGAACAAGAGTTGAAAGATGTACCAGCACCATATTATGATATAGACAAACAGTAATACAAATTTATCCTGATCACAACTGAGTCTAGTTCCACAGTCCACTATGAGCAAAACAAACATACAAACAAAAAAATAATAATAATAATACAGTAGGCTGCACTGGTGGATCTTTCTATAGCATTGTAATTTATTTCTGCAGCTGCATAGTGGTTTGACAGCAGCTCCACTAAGATATTTGCAAAAAACTGTTTTTAAAGTCCATAAAAAATTGAAAAATCTAAAATGCTGAACGACATTGGATGAATGGAACTGTAGTGAAACTTCCCAGGAGTGCTAAAATCACTGCTAAAATGACTCTGAGATATCAAGGAGCAACCCAGATTAATAAAGTATAATTGAATTGAATAAATGAGTAAGAAAGAGACTGGACCGGATGGTATCCGGTATATAGAGAAGTTTCAAACAGTTTGGACAATATTTTCATTTAACATTTTTGTTGTTATATACTTTAAATATTTGCTCTCTCTGTGCAAAAAGCTGCAGAATTTGTCTCCATTCTCATAAAATCCCTCAACAACTTAGATTTGTTTATCCTAAATTATATTCTGTATCTATATCCTTATATATTTACATATGTGGACATCCTTATTCCTAATTCCCTGAACCAGTAAAACACTACTTGTCAGTAAGTTTTTTTCTAATTTTAATGCAACTGCTATAAATCTTAGAAAGTATTCTATGGGAAAAAGCCAGTAGTCAAACACAGGGGTGCAGTGACACTGATGATCTGGGACTGATCTATACAGTTATGTCAACTCTGTCCACTAATATAGAATCCTGAAACAGTTTTTGCAGACATCAGTCTGTAATTGTAAGTCCAGACACACAGTGATCCAGATCACTCAGTTTGCTGCTTTCACAGATGGCACAAATAGTGATCTGGATTTAGGGAAATGAATATTTTTACAAGGTAGGATGTTCAGACACTCCTTTTACATGGATGTCAGATGTTTCAAACATTGACCACATAGTTTAATAAATATGCAGGAGGAGGGATACTTTGGTGATTTCAGTAACCTAACCTTTTATTTACCTGCAGCTCAGCTCTTAGCCTCTTGTTCTCCTCGTCAAGCTTGGCCTCCTTCTTCTGCATGGATGTGATCTCGTTATTCTTGCTGACGCGAAAGATTTCATACTCCTTTCGGAGTCTCTCATACTCTGCAGCATACTCCAGGTCCACGGAGCCCGTGGATTTGAAACTGGCCCCAATAACCCGAGGTCCGCGGCGGAAGGAGCTGCGAAGGAGACGGGCTTTGGGCTTGACTTCAACGGGTATCTCACAGGCTTCCCCTCCCTCACCGCCGTATCCATCCTCGATCACCTCTCCTGGGCTGACCAAAGAGGATGCGGTGCCCATAATGGCAAAGAGCTAATAGATTAGCCTTTTTCTGATGAGCATAGCTGCTACCGAGCGGTGAAAAATGGGGATAGGGTGGACATTTTTTTTCATAACCGTCGAGAAAAAAAAAAGACAATGATTTTAATTTCGTGACATTGTCAAAAAAATAGACTTTATAACGTAGACGTGACAAGCAACATACATGTGACACGTAAACGCAATCCAGTGCCGATGTATTTATAGACGACAAAAATAAGAAAAGATACTTAACGCAACGTGGCCCACCGAGACATTGCTGCAGACAAAAACAAATAAAGCTGGAAAAAACATACTTTGGTAAATATGCTCTTGTCACAATATTGTCTCCTGAAAAAAGAAGAAATGAAAATTGTGAAGCTAGGTTAAACAAACAGGGACATAACGGTCCGCTCCCTTTTTCACAGCTTCCTCTTCGCTGCCTTGGTAACAAGCTTTGAATACGGAAGCCGCGAAAGTCAAAAAAGGTTTGTTTGGAGTTGTTAGACTTTTTCTATTCTCTTTTCCCTCTAATACAGACGGTAGCATCAGTAATATTATGTAGGGGAATGTCCAGACTTATTATCATTTAACATTTTCATATATTAACAATAACTTTACAACACAAACACTGTGGTTAATTATGCACATCATATACTAACACTAAAGATGATAAGTAGAGAATTCACGCTCTTTTCAGAACTAGATTTTGTGTTATATGGGGTAAAGAGATAACTATGTTACTCTGCAAGTCATCTAGGAGTCTTCAGTGAAATCACAGATAAACACCTACTTTAATAATAACTTAAACATTTATTAAATGTGGATATTAGTACATTTAAATATCATTTTTTTGCAGAATGATTATTGATAAAAGTAGGTAATGACAATGTAAAATATTTTCGCCCCAGAAGTCAAACCTGAAATAATTTTGTTCACTATACCTTTTATTTACACAGCATAGATGTTTAAAAATATGCATCTATTTGTTAGCAAAGGCTGCAGGGAATATAGTTTCCTTTATATATAGTTTGTCTTTATTTAGAAAATATGGATGTTTGTGCTCGTTCCTGTTGGAACAGTGAAGATTGACCCTGAGGTTCTGGTGCCTTTTGGCCCCCCCTGAATGTACATTGGTTATTGACTGGGCACCCCTATTAGGATTTTCTGGCTACACCTCTGAGCAAACCCTCTAATTGAATTATTTTTGCTACACTGGAAGATTGGAATATATGCTGCAATAGCCATTTGATCAAAGTGCTTATACCAATTTTATTTTCCCCATGTTTTATTAGACATGAATAGAGTACAAAGATGCAAGAAGGAAGGAAAATATTATTAGCTAGATAATTCACTAAAGATAATTTACTAAATGTGCCTGTAAAGTTTTTGAGCACAGATCTCAATTTATACTTCCTGACCTGCTTTATGAGTCTAGTTCATGAAAAACAACTGAGATATCCCCTGCCCCCGCAAAGAGATGCTTATTGCTGATTTAAAAGAAAAGCAGTGTTGGACTCAAAGATTTCCCCTGAGAGCAGGTTGGTGGGTTACGCATTTCCTTCATTGTGACTGCAGATGCATCACACGTATCTGCTGCTGGTTGTGCAAGCTATGCCTTTTTGGTTAAATAATTCTCTTGGACAGCTCTGAGATATGCAACTTGAAATGCTGCAGAACTCCTTAATATTCTTAGCAGAGGTGTTTCTATATGTGAAATTGATTTGATGTAAAGTGAGGACAGCTGAATTCCTTTATACGAGGTAACCATTGTTGAGTCATTGTTGCCTCCCCTCATTGCAATAATCTGCAAGTTATATCAGCAATTTAGCTTGAGTGCCTTGCAGCTTCTCCATTGCTTAGATGACTTTACAAAATAAAAGTTCAATAATTTTCTTTATTAGACGAGAATAGAGCTAATATCTTTCTTGTAACTTTCTGATGTAAACTTCACCTTTAAGTACGGTAAGTTAAAACCACATACATTGTCCAAACTGCTGTCAACAGAAGTTAATCAAATTAAAGCACATAACCAAGCTTATATGAATAAAATTTTATCTAAAACATAAAAAGATGCTTATAATACAGGAAATTTTACAATATAAAAGAGACAAAAAACACAACAAGGTTTTATTAGGATGTCGATCTCTAGCTTTGTAAAAGACAATAAAAATAGATGGGTTGTTAGAAATCCATGAAATTATCCGGTGATGGAGTGTTGCTTTTCTTTATCCTATATACATGGGCAAGTTGTTACACAGAATAGAAGCCAAGACTCTGAAAGACAGCTCTGGTCTTTTTTTTTTTGCTAAGGAAAATGGAAAAGTTTAGGGATATTCGTTTTGAGTGGTTTTGCAAAAGTTTTCCAAGACTTGCTTTAAATAAACTCAGGTCAGAATAAGTAGGCTTTATAGTATTTTAAAACAGACTTTTTTTTATGCCAGATTTTATAATGGAAAAACTCTTTTGGCAACAGTGGTAAAATATAGTGCACAAGATATGCGTTTGTTACTATACCAATCTATGTATTGCATTATTCATATAATAATTTTTTTTTCCAAAAAGATGCTATGATAACCCCCCCTGAAACCCTCAGAGACCATAGTCTGAGACCATACTTCTAATACAAAAAGAGTATTCTAGCTAATTTTTTGTTCATGATAGAAAAAATAGATACAACACTTTTTCCTATCTAAGCACTAAATTACTTGTAATCTAGAAAAATAAAATCTAAATGCAATTAACACTAGGAAGTGCTGTTGTAATTCTTTCCATGCAAGAATTCAGATATCTATATTCTTTCATGGTTATTATTAGTTTTAGTATTAGGTCTATTCAATAAAGTACAAAACAATTAAAAACTACAAATACAACTTGACATTTTTATACCTTAAGCAGAAAGAAAATGATGTTTTTTGTATCAAGTCTTACCAATACCAAAAAAAATTAAACATAAGCGCTTTTTCTCTTTACCAAAATCACATGTAACCTCCAAAGGAAACAAATTAGTTGGGAAAGTTTTCCTATGTATAATTTAAACTTAGTATTGCGGAGAACATAAGTGAATAAACACCACAACAAAGGAACACACAATACGGGTCAGGAGTAAAGTTGTAGAGAAGTTTAAAGCAGGCGTAGATAATAAAGTTTAATCTTGAGCTTTTAAAATCTCACCAAGCACTGTTTAAAAGATCAAAAGAAAAACAGAGTAGAACACAACTGGAACCTGTGAAGTCATGGCCATTAACTTAAACTAAAATACCAGGAAAGGATAAAATTAATGAAGGAAACAGTTAAGAAGTCGATGGGAACTCTGGAGGCGCAGCAGAGATCCATAGTTCAGGTGTACATTATGTTATTAGGACAAATGTCTTGTGTCCATTTCCCAAAAATAGCCTTCATGGAGGAGTGATTAAGCTTTTTAACTCCTCATTTGCAGGGAGAGCACACAGTTAGGTGAGGTTTGTCGAGTTTTGTCTAGTCGCTGTCGGATGTGATGAAAATGTATGTATTTGGCCAACATCAAGAGATTCTGTCTCCATCTCACCCTTAACAAACCCTGCTGACAGTGAAACATGGTGGTGGGAGCATCATGCTGCAGGGATGCTTCTGTGAGAGTTGATGGGAAAATAGAGGGAGCTAAATACACATCAATCCTAGAAGACTTTAAAAGCAAGCCATTAAGGTTGATGTGCACAGGTTTTTTTCCTCAGCCTGAAATATTTGATCTATTTTGTAAAGAGAAATAGATACAAATATATTGTTTTTTAGATGTACAAGGCTGGCAGACATATACCCCAAAACAATCGCAGCTCTAACTAAAGTAGAAGGTGTTTCTGTTACATATTTTACATATAAGTAACTGGCACATATTTTTAACAAAACAATATTGAATACTATACCTGGTTTTTCATCTGTCTGAGAAAAATCTATCATAAAATTTAAAACATAAAATTCAAATAAAGTTAAATAAATAAAGTTAGCTGTTAATATAGATAGTTGCATCCCTTTCCATGCACTCCTAGACTTAAGAAAGATAGAAGTTTAGATTAAACATAAATGTAGCACCTCTAATTATGCGCAGTCTGGTGCTTTGTTTAATAATAAAAAAAGAATTATATATTTGCTTTAGCACAAAGCAGTAGATTGAAATTCTGAAAGATGCTTGGAAAAAAATGTGGAAAATTACCTATATCAGAATAAAAAATAACATCCATCAACAGACATCATTCAAGAAGCTTACAGACCATATTGTCTTGTTTTACAGAACAGGTGTAAAACTGTCTTTCTGTAAGCTTGGTTTAAGAAGAAATACATCATGGGATCCAGCACACCGCTAATACAGGTCAGCGCAGACGTGATCTGATTGGGTCTTCTCAATAAATCCAAGCTTCCACCTATCTGTTTAATGTATACCACCCTGCAGATGTGATAGGGAGCAAAAGCAAACAGGAAGTTCATCACTACGAGAATGATCATTTTTACAGCTTTGTCCCTCACAGGGCGTCCTTCATGTTGGGTCAGGGTCCTTAGTTTCAAGAGAATCACTATATATGCAATGATAATGGTAATGAAGGGAAGAAGAAAAGCAACCATGGTGGAGATCAGAGCGTTGGATGATGTACTGTTTTCAAGGTACAGCATGTTGCACTCGTCATGGCTCACAGACATATTAGCTGAGGTGTTTTGATGGTGTCTCGAGAAAAGTGATGGAATCATAGACCCAATAATCATAGTCCATAGTATGGCCACAGCAACATTGGCATACAAAGGCTTCCTTACCACCTGAGACCGTAGAGGTAAAGTCACAGCTAACAGCCTGTCCAGACTGATGAATCCCATCAGGTAGATGCTGCAGTACATGTTGAGGTAAAAGAGAAAGCCAGACAGCTTGCAGAGGATAACTCCAAAGGGCCAGTGGCTGTCAGACAGGTGGTAAACTATGCGCATAGGTAAAATAAGGACATAACAGATGTCTGCAATGGACAGGCTTCTTAGGAAGACCTTGGAAGGTGAACTGCTCTTTTGTTGACAGAAGACCCACAAAGCCAGGGCGTTTCCAGGAACAGCGATGGTGAAGATAAGCATGTAGTACATGGAGAGGAAAACATCCCACAGTGACAGAGGTGTTCTGTCTTTGGTTACATCCTCTATGGAAATATTCATAGTTGTCATAATAGCACAGACCAATCTAGTGCAGAAAAAAAAGTGCATAGTTATCTTTCTCAGAACATACAGCTTTCAGTTGTATTAAGTGTTAACATCTGTTGATTTGGTGATTACAACTTACAGCTTATCAGAAACTAAATCCAGTTCCTTTCAACTTATTGCATTAAAATATACCCCAAAAAAGGTCTTATAAGACGAAACTGTAAGCCTATTGAGTGCATGTTTTCTGCAGGTTGGGTAATAGGCCAAGCATGGTACCTAAATGAGTTTCTTGGGTATGGGAGGAGTTTGAGCAAATCCCACCGTCTAAATTTTGCCTTAAATTTGTTCAGACCAATGATGTCTTACAAAAACTCCTCCCACACCAAAGCAAACTCCCACTTAAGCACTGAAGATATCCTCTAGGCTCTCCCTCTGTTTCATTAGGCTTTAACCTCCAATTATGCTATATTATTTGTGCTTTAGGAGCAGGAAGTTGAAACCTTTTCTTCCTTTTCGCTTTTCTAATGGCTGCAATATATCAAAACAAAGCAGTTTGGAAAAGAATGACATATTTAAGATTATGGATGAAATGTATGTATTTTCAATTTATACAAAACCTACACTATGTTGCCAAAAGTATTGAGATGCTCCTCGGATTCTATGCATTTAGGAGTTTCAATTACTTCTATGGCCACCGAGGCATGCAGATACACTCTGTAAATTTGCAAACCAATGGCTGAATCTAGGTTGACTGACAGCAAGAAGAGCCTAACTTACTTGACTGCTCTGTGCTTAGCTTAAATTAGGGTGGGGCATTAGTGACCAGGGTTGGGACCTGGATCCTTAGTTATATATAACAAAACTCTTCATTTTTCCAGAATATAAAGGGCAGTTGCACAATTATATGCTCACGCTTATTAAATAATACACTGAAGATATCTCCTTTCAGATAAAAAAAAAAAAAAAAAACTGCACCCTTCCACAAATAAAGTCTTAAAGATGCCAGGCAAATTCTAAGTGGAGACGTGACCGGGCAACACCAAAGTACTAACCCAAACCCGACAGAACATCTTTGTAATGATGTAAGTCAGCTCGTTCTTTCCAAGATTAATATTCTATCTTAAAAAAAGGTCTAAGAGAGAATTTAGACCTTGAACTGTTCAGTCTGAACACTTAATCCTTAACCTTTTGGGCAGCATTCCCTGAAATACTGATGTTTTTATGGCGTGGAAAATATATTCAAATCATGTATGAAAATTGTCATGTCATTATACTATATGTGAAGCCAAGCATCCAGGCATTTATGGAAATATAATGTTCATTGATAAACTGTGATAATAAAAATTTTCCTTTTTAAGAAAGGGGAACCGCTCTGTTCCTTCTTTTTAGCAAAGTATATTTGTGAGCTTTAAGTATCGCTCTATCTATTAGCCTCTGCCCCAGCTTCACTAATATTTTCTGGGATAAAGGGTGCAATGAAACAGGTCTTTTAGATTAACCCTTTCGTATTATTTGCACATTAATGATAAAAAAAATGCTTAAAACTTCAAGTTATTTGACACATAGAATAAGACACAAAAACATAGGATACAGAAAAATAGCCAAAACTCTAACACTTAACTACATTTAAAGCATTTAGTTTTCCAATCATCCTACCTGTAATCGTTGTTCTAAAATCTGCTCAGCAAGACAAAAGGCTCCCTGTGTTTGGGTGAGGAACTGATAAGGGCACCCAGAAGTGAGAAGTCTAAAAGAGTGGCTTGTGGTGTTTCAACCTTTATACTAGCAGAAACCCACGTGTGAAAATTGCGACGTTAGGCAGGAAGCCAGGAGATTAAAAAAAATCAAAAAACAGAAAAAGGATCAGTGCACTAGAAGCATGCAGGTCTTTATTTGTTTATACAACTCCATCACACTTTTGCCTTTTATTGGTAATTAACATTATGATTTAAAGCTTTACAAAAAGAAAGGGGGAAGAAAACCAAGATATTTACAAAATCTATCTGTGCAAACATATTTGTGTCTCTTTTACATCACTCTCCTAAAGTATTTGAAAAGCATGCATACAAATAAACTTTGGTATGTTAAAAAAAAAACAAAAAACTTTTCTTAGTAGTTAGTTTTGCTGGTATGTACATATGGTTGAAGCGCTTTGTTTTCAGTACAGACCACATAAATGGAAAAACACTACAGAGCTTTTGACCACTGACTTTAGCCACCACAGCAAGAAGAGTATGCAGATTTCATAAAAGTTCATGATTGTTTTTTTAGGCATGAAGTGAGTCAGTATACAACCACTTTGGCAAATAGGCACAATAAACTGAAAACTTTCATTAATGATGACAAGAGCTGATAATCTGTTAAAGAAGCTGGCAGTTCATGTTACTTAAAAAATAAGAAAATACACCAGGAAAACTATGTTAATAATGACTCATCTTTAGATTTTGTATAAACTCTTTAAAGTTTGTTACTTTTTCTGTTCTGAACGTAAGAAATATAGAGGATTAAATATTCTAGTTATTAAATCTTTCTTTCCAAAATTAAAAACATTTACACAATATTTTGATTGCAAATTAACGCTATATTTCCTATTCGTGGCTACAGGAAAAGAATAGATCCATTTTAATTAAATGCCATCATAATTAAAACCTTTCACTTCAACTAGTCAATCTACATTTTTGTTTTAGATACATCAAAATTATAATGCAGATCATTTGGTACACTTTCGATACAGAATAAAAGTCTTAAAAAGTGTACTGATAATAAGAGGAAACATACAGTACGCAAATGCCAGTGTCAAAATATAAACATAGAGTGCATAACTTTAATAATACTTTCAAATAAAAAAAAAAAAGAAAGGAAAAAACAATGTAAAGTATATTACATGGAATAGGTTCGGGTCAACCTGCTGTGCATTAAAGCACATGGAGTGATAATATGTCTAAGTTGTTTCCTTAGCTGCTGTGGTTGTTGGGATGGAGGATTTGCCGCTGCTGCCGTTGTGCGATCTGTAGCTGGTGAAGCTGGGGGTGTGTATGGTGCGGATGCTCTTTCCACCTGGGCCCAACGGTGTGGGAGACAGAGGGGAGGGGGAGAAGGAGGAGGAGGAGGAGAATGAAGAGGAGGAGGAGGAGGAGTGCACTCGACCATTCTGAGTCTGTGAGGAGAACGAGAGAGCTTTACCTGTGTGTTGTGAAGGTGTGGGGAGTTTAAGGGATCCGTTAGACAGTGAGGGGATATGGGATGAGGGTAGGGAACCGGAACGGGAGTTGTGAGAGGACAGGACGGTCTTTGTCGCAGAGGGAGGAGCGGAAGAAGATTGGTTAATGGGATTAGTAGCATCTGAGTTTAGTGCAGACTGGGAGCTGCCTTTAGCAGAGCTAGAATAAAAAGCAGGGATTTTAGAAACGGGAATAGTGGGGGAAGCAGTTTTATGATCCCCTCCCACTCTTTTAGCACTTCCATTAGCCTGCAAACAGATGCCAAAACAGATACTTGTTGTCAAAAAAACAAAAAAATGGTAACACAACACATGTAAGGCAAGGCAATGTTAAAAAAGAAAAAAACAACAACAACAAAAGAAGACAAAAAAAATAAACCTTAAAACTCACATGGACGAACAGTATGGCTGCACATACATTAAAATCAATAAGGCAGAGCTAATAGACACCGAAATAAACACACAGCCAGAAAAATAAGCATTGAACATGAGAAGTTTTTCTCAGTTAATATTTTTTAATGGGCTTGTTGTCATCAAATTTACACCAAATGTGGACAAGCCAGGAAATAAGGCCATAGATAAAGTTATACGGAGGGCCAGTACCATGAGATGTTTTTGAAGAAAATGCATTTATCATAACATAGTGTTGCTAGCAGCAACACCAAAAGTTAAACTTTGCTCTAGTCAGATTATTTCCTCTCTCCAACATGATATATTGCATTTGTATGTCATTTGTCTGCAATCAGGTTTAAAACAAACAGAAGTGGGTGTGAATTTTGTTTGTTGTCGCTTGAATTCTCTTCTGCAGTTTATCGTTATGACGACAAAACCTCAAAGCTGGGTGGAATCTCAGTTTAGGAACGGAAATTTGGCAGTATTGGTATAGTGTCTAAATTTATTGAAGCAATCCTTCTGAGTAGGATCTCCAAATGTATTAAATCGACCAGTTTTTTGTTGAAATCCAAGTTAGGAACTGCCGTTTTTATTTTTGGCTTTGAGGGGCTTATTACCAAATACAGACAAAAAAATTCCTGTTTTATATGTTTTTTTTTTAGATGCAAGAAAAGTTTTTGGCAGGGTAAACCATCAAAAGCTATTTACAAAATCAATCTAAAAAGAGGTACCTAGCGATTTGGTGCTGCAGGCGTTTGACAAAAAAGTAACTTAGCCACATTATCCCTGTCAATGTGTCAGATGATGAGGACATATTTATAAGTGTTATAAACCCAGCCTAAAACTCTGGCTTGGCAGTTTGGATTCTGCACAATGAATGTAAAACTGGCTCTATTCAGAGTGCATTGCACCCCTCTTTGCATTGCTCAACTCTGGACAAGATATAAGAAAGACAGTATGTGAAGGCTGCAGGTGGCCTAGTGATTATTTCTAAAGGAAATCAAGATGGACTAGTCTTTTATAAACACCAGAGCGAATACTATAAATACACGTTTTCATCACTTAACTAAACCAGTATAAGGAAATGATACCGCTGTCCCTCACAAGTGTCAAATGTAGCACCAGCCAGTGCCACACTCGAAACTACATGAGTATGGCTACATTACTGCTTTTAAGGGTGAAGACCATAACCACTCAATTGTGTTCACTCAAACAATCAAGGTTAAAAGAAGTCTCTGTAACAAATGCAATCAATATAGCATTTTTTGACTGCTTCACTGTAATTGTCTTCAGCCAGACTCTCATTCAGACCCACTGTAATGTTGACCAACAGGATATCCTTCCGGCCCATAGCCATAATCAGTTATAATTTACTTTGGAGGAAATTTGAAAAGTTTGTGTAGGAACAAGATTAATTTACAATAGGGAAATTAGAGGGGGAGTGGCGGCCTAGGGGTTGGGGTACTGCGCTTGGAATCCATAGGTTCTGAGTTCAAGCCCCACTCCAACAGACGGCCACTCTGGGTCCCTGAGCAAAGACCCTTAACCCCACATGGCTTCCCGGGTGCCGCACAATGGCAGCCCACTGCTCCCCAAAGGGATGGGTTAAATACAGAGAGTTAATTTTGTTGCTTTGTACTTGTGGCAATGTAATTCTATTCTAGTTTAGTTAAGAATCTAAATCAAATTTGTTGCAAGGGTTTAGTTTTGATTTTTATATGTGTGAATTGTTTGGGTTTGTACAGGCATCTGATGTGTTTTTCAATCCATTAGCCTTTTTAGGAAACATTAACTGAAGAAAACATGGTGAAAAGTTCAACACTTATTTTTCCTGCTCTATACGAAAGTTCTTTTTTTTTTTTTTTCCAAGTACTGAGAGACACATTACCAAGAAAGTAAACACTGCAAGAGTTAGAGAGCCCAATGGCAGAAAGGAGTGTCTCTGTGTTAGCGGGAATGTTAGGCATCGTGAGAGGCTGTTAGAGAAAATTGAGAAGGCAAAGATATATAAGAACTGGAGTGAACAGAAAAAAAAAAAAATATATATATATATTAGGATTTTGAAGGGATGCAGCAGAGAGGAGAAACCATGGATTTGTACTTTACTGAACTGATGGTGCAATGTGAGTAGGTTATGTCAAGCTCCTGGTGGTAAGAAAACGTATCACCGTGGGGTTAAGGAAAATGAGCAGCGATGTTGGGTTTGAGCAGAGTTGCATAATAAGAAGGGACGAGCCAAAAAAAAAAAAAAAGAAAAAAAAGTTAAATCTGTATTTGGACATTCCCAGAAGAATCGGAGGGTTTGGCAACACTGTTTTAGGAACTCAGCTGTGAGGGAGAACTGGAGATGTGATGACAACTCAGATGATGACAACACAAGAATCCACTTTTCTTTGCCTTTCTCCATTTTTTTTTTTTTTTTTTTGAATAGCCACCAACACAGTGAAAACCATGAGCAGTGTGGACATGCAGAAGCATACAGTACAGTGATGTTATGGGGTAACAGTCAGGAGTCAAACATGCCTTTGTGTCTTTGCAGATTCGAGATAAACAAGAACAGATCCACAGTGTCCATTGCTGTGACTTTAATTTGTATTTTTCACAAGTGATATCTCACAGCTTAGCCCCTCCCGCCTGCCTTTCCCATAACGTTTCATGCTTTCAGTAACCTCTGATCTTAATTCTGCTAGTCTCTGGGAAAACCCTACAGTAAAACTACCTGTCGAAACTGCCTCTGAGCGTCCTGCAGTTTTTGCTGTTTTCCGGCTTTGTCAGTAGTAGCCGGCGACTGTCTGGGCTTCGCAGACATAGGGACCGGCATCCGACTAGTAGGGGAAGCAGCATTGGTGTTCTGCAAGGGGATCCAAACGAAAAACAAAACAAGAAATAAAAAAAGGGTAGAAAAAAATACAAACCAAACAGGAAGCATCAGAAATCTAAACATGGGGAAAAGTTGAACACCTAAAAAACATAATAACAATATTCAACACCAGTGACAGACCATGCATCCAGAAAAACCATAAACCTCCAAGTCAGTATACATGTATAGGGCATATAGGGCATGCAGTTGAGAATAAGGAAGAAACGACCATCGTGACGATGCCTCTGATGATCAGTGCACCACTT